ATATATAGGAAGCCACTACGCAATTCCTATGGGCGAAAATGATTAGTGTTTTTGCCCATAGGCTCGGCGCCATCCGATTTTTTTGGACGGCATGGATTAAAAGACCGCAACAGACCTACTATGTCTGCTGAGGTACTGCAATTTGCAATATTTTTTTGTGCAAAAAAACACGAGAAACCGCATGGGTCTTGTAGATCTGTAGTTGTTTTTAAGGCAAAAACGCAACGGACATAGCATGTCCGTGGCGGGGCGAAACACTATTCAATTTCGCCTATAGGTTTTTTTCAGAGTTTTCCACATATATATATATATGGGTGGAGATGTATAGATAACCATCCATGCCGTTTGATGTGGGTTGATAAATTCACCTTAGGTCTAATATCCTATTTTTCTTTTTTCATTTCTAATTTGTTTGAACGGAAGCTCAACTAATTATAGCCAATAGCCTAGTTCCTTTGGATCCTACAAAGCGATTAATCCCATCGGTATCCTATGCAGAAACATTTGGAAGATAAACAGCTGAGCCGTTTATTGGAAGTAGAGGCCATTGCATATTCCAACAAAGATAGGTTTGGCTATTCGTTCGATGCCGAGTCTTCTTCAAGATAGATGTTGAGCTGGAAATTCTGTCTTCTTAAACTATTTTACTATTTTACATTGAAACTCCCATTAAACTTTATTATGTGCATTCATTGTAGTTCTCATTCTAAGTGGTGCTCGATAACTCTTGCAGACTAGATCCTTTGTAAGTTTCTCAAAGTGAACTGGTGTGCTTTGGATTTAAATTTTACATATATGTGGATGTATGCGTGCGTATCAGTGCTTCAAAAAGTGCTAGGCGGCACCTAGGCGGTCGGGGGGTCCAGGCCGCCTAGTGCCTAGGCACCAGAACTTGGGCTGCCTAGTGGAAATTTTTTCTTTTTGGGGTTTTCTCTTTCTAAAATAGCTTGTAATGGGTTTTAGGTTTTAAAAAAATACCCTCAAGGAGGTACATTTCTACCCTTGGGCGGGCGCCTAGGCGAGCGTCTAGGGATATCCGCCTAATTTAGCCACCTAGGCCTGGGCGATGTGCCCAGGCCTTCTGCTCGCCCAGGCCTTCTGGACTGCCTAGGCAGCCATTTTGGAGTTGGGCAGTCCGCTTTTTAAAACATTGGTGTGTATATTAATGCTTGCATCCGTATCCAAAAAAAAAATAAAGGATGAAAAGATTAGGATTTGCTCTTTCGTTTTGGAGCTCTTTGAGATACAGTTGGGTGCCACCCACTTCTATGGCAATAAAGCAGTTGATCTACTTAGGGATTGAAAACTAGTTACACTTTTTTTTTTTCCCCTCTGTATGGTGTTGGAAGGAGCAAAATGTATGTTTTTCTTGGGTCTCAGGAAATTATTGACCATCCTTAATTAGAGGAAACCACTGTGGTCATCCATTATACCCTAGTGTTTGCCTACTTTCATAACAACAGAGTGAAGGACGTCGTCAACATCGGAATGAGACTGTTCTTAAGAGTAAATCCTCGTTCTAGAGCATGGAGTAGAAGATGATTACCCCCACCATCTGAGACCAAAAGTTGATGGTAGCTACTTAGGGCAACCAGGCCCTAGCCAGGAAGAGACAACATTGGATATGTGAGGATGTATTTTTTGATCCCTATAGGGATTTGTAATTTTAGTCCTATCTATCGACTCTTCTCATACCCTTTCTCTATGCCTCTACTTCCTTCGAGGTCATTAGGTGATCAACAAAAGAAAAGTATTCATTTATTTAAAAGTGTAGCAAGCCAATGTGTAATAGTTGTTACTGAATTGCAGTATTAGTTTGTGATGTTTATGAATCATGACTCATCACTAACTTATCCTGAGCTTTTCTGTGATGCGCAGTATGATTGATATTCTATGTCTTGAATAAGGTATTTACATTGAAGGCTACAGTGTTATGAAATAATGTAAGTTACTTGCTAACGCTACACTGGTGAGTGGATTGGATTCTCCCCTCTTACAGTATTGAAGGAGCGGGTTGGATTATTGAAGGAACGGTTAATTGGATTCTATCATCTTACACTATTGAAGGAGCGGTTAATTCCAAATAGTAACAGAAAAGAACATCCGTTTTTTTTTTGGGAAAAGTTTTATATAGAGCCGAGGCTCTAAACAATCACATTCGAGCCTAACTCAAAAATTTCACTAAACAAGATTATTTTGATATCCAAATATCATCAAATTGATCATCTTGATATCAAGATGCATGGACAAGATAAAAAAATTGATTTCAAGTTTTAAAAAATAGTGCATTTTGTAATGCATTTTTTGACTGTCAACTTTCACGATTTTGAAATTTTCAAGCACTGAGTTAATTATTCATTGGAATGTACGGTTTGGATACAAGCAATGTCTGATGACAAAGTGCCATTGCTTTGCAACTTTGACAGGCGTTTTACTCAAGAGTCCAGGAAGGCTGTTTGGAATGGAAGTTGTACTCATGGAGTTTATGTTAATGGTGCAATAACTTTTCTAAACTTTTTGTTGAAAATGTATGAAGTCAGCATGTTGAAACCCTCACAAGATGAAATTAATATCAAGTATAGGTATCCTGGAATACATTTCCAGTCATCCCCAGTGATGATGATATTAGCATGATTATGGATGTGTTTCCCAGACATTGCAATGCTACTGTGGTATGCATCACAAAACATGAAAAACATGCAGTTATTGCACCATTTGAGGTAAGGATCCATCGAAAAGGTGTCAAAAAAAAGTACAGTGTGATCCATCATGGTCGTAAGTGTTTATAATTGTCAAAGTATATACTGTGTGATGTATATAGGCTTTGCTCCAGTCCGCACCGGTGCCAGTATCTATTTCTAAAATCTCTCCCTGATTTCGAAATCCTTTCAAAAACGTTTTAAGAAAGAAATGAGTCAAATCAATCCCAAAAATGATGAACAGGGTGCACAAAAGGTTACCCGGGTTCAAAAGGTAAAATACCATGGCAAAAAGCACAACACACCCACACCCCTCAAAGCCAGAAAAGACCCCCAATCCTAAGATTTCTCAACTTTAAAAGCCTAGAAAAACGCCCGAGGCATGAAGTTGCTCGTTGCTCAATTGATTAGAATTTCTCCGTCCTCATTTGAACCATCTCCTCTCATCACAAAAACATCAAAACTTTATTGGAATATTGACATCACCCCCTTAGCCGATATAACGGAGGGGCATAGTGATCACCCCCAATCGATGTGCTAGCTCACCTCCTGGTCTCATAGACCACATGCTCAATAGGGCCTATTCCTATCAGGCATCCGAGAGACAAATGTTGTTGCATACCTCACCACCCAAATCTGTGTCCCATGCGTCTACTTCTTTTCTACCATGAGACGCAAGCAACAAAGAAGGGAAATAGTAGACATCTTGATCCTGATCCCAATCGAAGAAACAATGGAAGACCCAAATACCCCTGTTAAGCTAGCCCGTAACTTCAACCATTCATACCCCTTCCTGACCTAGCCATAAACCATCCTCCAAGAACCAAGACCATTGCACGAAGGATTACCCCTGAAGAACAAGCAAGGCATAACATAATTGAGAAATGCCAAACTCGAAGTAGTCTAGAAGTAGAAAGTTCCAACACCACTACCAATGGCATCAGTGCCGCACCCAATGCCGACACAGGAAAACTGCCCAGCACTCTGGACATACTCAGCGACACGAGAAAGAAGAAAATGGACAACATTGCTAGTGGCGCTAGCGGCATTGACAGCAGTGTCAAGACTTTGATAGTCATAGATAGATACAAGTTGGATGCACGGACCTATCACGTATCAGTATGGACTAATACGTGTCTGCAAGGATTGACATGCCAAGTGTAAGTACGGAAGGTGTGCCACTCTCGGATTCATCGAATGAAATGTCACATCAATTATGGATCGTACGATGGCATCCAACGGTCAACTGACATCGACGACACTGAGAATGGCACAATGACAGTCGAAATGGTGCCGAAATCTGATCGGTCAGTTGTATGGAAGAATGCCTAGAAGACGACACATGGCAATTTGTATCAGAAAGTTACTCTAAATTCCTCCAACGACATTGCCAATGTTGTCGGGCCTCTGACACCCCACCCACAGAGCTGTACCTAGGCCAGGATCACATGACTTTGGAGCATTTTGTGATGCTGACTGTAATTAATGTTGATTGGGCATTGCCAATGGCACTGAAGTCATTGCAAGTAGCACTAGAGTTTGAGGGGCATAATAGATTGCATAAAAAACGCCCAACAATGATGGTAGAATTGTTTTGTCTATAAATAGAGGGCTCCTCTTTGAGCCAAAGGCCGATAATTTTGTTGCATAAGCTCTGTCGGACTAGATCCAAGCTTATCCAATCCCTTAAATCAAAGCCAATCCCTATATCTCAAACCTTAGGAATATTATCAAACTTAATCCAAAGCAAAAGCGGTCCACATAATCCGACCCTGACCCTCTTCCAACCGTACCTTTGACCTGTAAAAACCCAAAGTAGCGAAACTAGCCATACAATTATTGACTTTAAACTGACTATGACTATGGGAACTAGGTCCGGGGCCGGATTTTCCTTCTTCTTTTGATTTCATTAATGCTATTTAATAATTTTCCATGGTTTCAAATATCTTCATAAAACCCCCCTCTTTTCATTAAATATTTCAAAATTCCTCTCGAGCTCTAAGGTTGGGAAGTTGGCTCTTCGGCGGTCCTAACGAGAGAAGGTCTTATGGCCTGATTCTCTCCATAAATGTAATTTGACAGGACCCTTTTTTCTACCAATTCTTTTGGACAAGTTTATGCCCAAAACCAAACCGAGGACCAAGTTCTTTGCCCTCATTTTCAAGTATAAACAACATCACACGCTATACCAACGCATTCAGACTCGAAAATGCACACGCACACGTAGAGCTCACACACGGTTCCTTCGTTTGAGAGGGTCGATGGCATCAGCTATGACGTAGTGTCTCCTCCACTTGTGTAATTAGTCTTATACCCACGGCTCTTTTAACAAACAAATTACTATAAAAGGTTTTGGCTTTTTGTCATTAGTCACTGCTTCAAAGGGGAAATCACCATTTAACATGCCTTGCTCATTCACTGCCAACAGAAAATGGCTGCCGGATTCCTGCAAAAAACAGCCATATCCCGGTGGCATGGTACATTTTCCGGCAAATGAGCAACCTGATCCACCAGTTTTTAAAAAACTGATGGATGCTCTCTTAAATACTAAGCCAGCATATAAGGCTTCAGGGTTCTTAGCCATAACCCTGGCCTCTTCTGTGGGCCTAGCTACTTTCCTTCAATTCGAAACTGAAAATGCCTTCGTCTCAGCAATCCTCCTCATGATTTACTTCCTGTGTTTCATGGTCGCGGCGGCAACGATCATTCTTAACATTTTTGTGGCAGAGTCTAGAAGATCCATGCGAGTGATGAAGGGTCTGTTTGGTATTGAAATGATCCTGCTTATTCTGGCTTTCCTGCTTAATGTGTGTCTCTTGCTCCCAGATGTTATGCCCTAGATTTTCAGGTTTCTTTGTTTGGTGTCTCTTCTGTCATGTGGCTCTGTTGCCATATGGACGGCGGATGCGCTGAGTACTACCATATATGATAATAACAAAATATGAGAGACAGAGAGAGGGGGAGGCATCTGTGTGAGAGAAAGGAGCACCACTAGTGTTGTTCTTCTATCTTTTATATATATATATTGAAAGTTTGAAACTATCTTATATTAGTTATTTTTTTTTTTTCCCAATCTTCACGAAATGGTTCCGTTGTATTTTTTTTTTTCCCAATCTTCACGAAATGGTATTTTTTTTTTTCCCAATCTTCACGAAATGGTTCCGTTGTATTTTTTTTTTTTCCCAATCTTCACGAAATGGTTCCGTTATTCCATTGACATTATGTCTCCATGAAGAGTTTTAGAGTAATTTATTTACTGACCCTAAAAGAATAGGGAAAATACAAAAATGCTCATTTTAATATCGGGAAATTATAATGACGGTCGGTCACCCCATTATATTTTTTTTCAAAATTACCCCTTGATCTGATGATGGATGTTATCCTCTAACCGAATTTAACTTTTTTTTATTTTTAGTTTTTTCCTTAAACCATCTTTCTCTATTTTTTTAGGAAAAACAGCAGTCCCAAGATAAGAACCTCGGACCACCCCTTAGATGGAGTAAAGCTCAATTTTAGGGCGATCAGAGGTCCCCGTACGGCTCCTTATTTTTGAAAAAAAATATTAGTGGGAGAAATGGGAACCTCATATTGCTATTCCCTCCCCAACATTAACGCGACACATTAAACAAAAGGTGTTGATGGTGGTTCTGCGGGACAAATTTGTATGCTTAGTCCCACAGGCGACACACGTAAGTAAGGATTTACCTTGTGGTAAATTTGAAGATAACTGTTCTTTAGCTTTTTCGGTTACTTGATTTGTTATTAGCGGTGTTTAAAAAAACGCCGAGTCGAACCGGACTCATCCGATTCGACTCCGAAATCGCCATGGACGGATCGAATCGGCGAAAAAAACTTAAATCGTCCGGTTCTAGAGAGAACAGGACGATTCTGTACAGTGACTTGACGATTCGATGTACGGAATCGGCGAATCCCGTACGGAATTTTTTTTTTTTTTTTGTAATCCATAATAGATTTTTTTGTAATACTTGATCGATTTTTTTGTAATCCATGATCGAATTGTTTTTTTTTTTTGTAATCCATGATCGAATTTTTGTTTTTTTTTTTTGTAACCCATGATAGAATTTTTTGTAATCCATGATCGAATTGTTTTTTTTTTTGTAATCCATGATCGAATTTTTGTTTTTTTTTTTTGTAACCCATGATAGAATTTTT